TATATATATATATATATATAAAAGCTAATCATATAACTGACTGATAATTAACTAATAACCTGACTAATGTAAAATTACCAAGTTACCCTCTTTCTTTATGTTACATCTTTCTCTACACCCACGTTTTCATATTACATGGCATTTATATACAATCAAACATTTCTATAATAACATTTTTATCTTATCTATAAAAGGAAAGCTTTTTCAAAACTAGTTTTTATTATTATAATATATATTCTCTATAACAGCTGTTATAGAAAGGTTTCATTGTATTCTGTATTTGGTGTGCATAGTTTATTCATTTGCTTAAACTAACCTTCTTTATGTCGTTAACATTATAGTTTAAATTAAAATTATCCCCAATGCCCCCATGATTAAAAAAAATAAGGGGAGCTAAATCGTTCTTAATATAATACTACACGCTCCTACCTTTTTGTCCGCTATATTTTTGTCTCAAGTCGTATTCTAAAGTTTATTGTTGTCTTCCAATTATTTATGGGACATTATACATATAATTAAATATTAAAACGACATTTGTATAATATTTTACATGCAACAAAATAATATGCTCACAAAAAATCGAAAAGAGATATGTTACTATATTATTTGATTGACACAATCTTTTTGTCATCACATAGTCAAACCGGTAGTCAAACGTTATCTTTTAAGACTCCAAAACTCGAAAAGAATGAATTAATTACTAATGTTTGGTTGTATCTATAGATTAGATGTAATTAAATGAAATTCTCATAATATCTACTCATAAAATTGCAAAATATTTCCCTTTTATAAAAGGAGGAATGATTATATAAGAAGTCAAAACTCTAGCAAAGTTGAATATATATAAGCTATGGATAATTCACAAATCAAAACTATTTTCTTGCTATTTATTTTCTTCTTTTGCTTTCCACAAGCAAAAGGGAATATCAGAGGGAGAAAATATACTGTTTCTATACATAATGGTCTCCCAACTGACAATCCACCACTATATATTCATTGTGCATCTGGAGATGATGATTTAGGATACCATACACTTGCTCCACATGATCAATTCTATTGGTCATTTCATATTAATTTGTGGCTTTGGGCTAGAACAATATATTTTTGTCATTTTTGGTGGGGTTCTAAGAACAAAGCTTTTGAGGTATACAATGATATGGATTTTTGTGTTTATGGGGCAAATGTTCCACAAGGAACAACATATTGTCAATGGACTGTGCAAACGGATGGTATTTATTTGAGTAACGGTCAAGGTGTTGGTTATAGATATGTTGATTGGTAAGAGATAATAGTTTAGTTTAGCTCATAATTTGTAACTTTTCTTTCTTTTGAGCAGGAAATGTAGCTTCTATTGAAAATAAAAATATGGTGCTCCTTGTAAATATGTGTATATCCCTTCCACCGGTGACAAGCTTATAAATTCTATGGGCATGTCATCTGAATTCAATATTTATTGACGTGAAATATAAATTTATACGTAAATATTCGATAAAAATTAAAATAAATAGTAGATACGAACAGAGGCAGACGCAAATGTTATGTTGAGAGGTCACGATGCCATGAAATTTCCGCAAAAACTTCATATATACTTGCAAGTGTCTTTAAAAAATAGTGAGATAAGGCAAAGGTTCCCGTACCAATCATTTGAGCAGTGATAAATTTATATTAAGTGTCATGGTACCTCCGCGACCGCCGAATCCTGGGTCCGCCTATGGATACGAACCCTACTTTTACAAAATATAACGAATTCAGTACTAAAAAATTTTAATATTATACGATAGAATCATGAATCGCTCTGCTTGTGGGTGCTGGTAGTCACAATACTCAATGTTGGGTTTTTTATGTATTTAATTAACGTATTAAATACTTTAAAGAGGGTAAATAAGAAATGAAGGAAAATAAATTTTGAGTGAAATTTTAAGTTTCCCCCTTGGTTTATGGACATTGTCCGATACTGGAAGAGGAAGAGGGTTTTTATTGGTATATAAGTAATTGATCTTCTTCTAGCTCTTAAAGATTTGAGAAGAAGGCAAGCCTCGCGCCGTCGTCGTCGCTCGCTCGGCTCGATTTCGGCTTCGGATTTGGTCAATTGATTGATTAACTTTTTCGACCAAATTTATTTGTTAATAGTAAACTAGTATATGTACCCGCGCGATGCGCGAAAAATATTAAATAAAAGTAATTTCACAAAATTGTTATGTTATCGTTGTTTTCACTGCTCTATTGTTAGATTTTTTGCCACCTTAACTATACTACATTATAAACTACTTTATTTTGCATGTTGCAAGCAATGAACTTTACATTTGTATGAAATTAAATTAACCTTTGAACGCAAAATTATTTTTGAAAAGCTCCACGCATTCTTCATATTGTGAACGGCCTTCAAATGCAATTTTGAGTACAAAGAAAGGATGCTAATTTAGAAAATTATGAAAAATAAATGATTTTAATGGAGTAAATTATTTTTGTAACTTTTCCAAACTTGTCAACCGAGATAATATAAAGATATAGTTAGCGATACTTAGTTTATCATATAAAATTAGTTGCTACATATAAATACCAGTGTGTAATATTCATTTACCTTAGATAAACTTGCATTATACTTAGTAGAAAATCAATCCAAAGCATATGACAACAGTAAACACTTATCAATTCTCGCAACAATTTAAAAGATTTATTTTTCTCCCTAAGATACAGTTTACATATTAAAACACTCAGTATAACAATGTATTTCAGAAACTTTAGTACATCTCTGACTTTGGAAAGCAGCTATAGAGATATTATTCAACCATCCAAAATTGCAGATCTCCAATTCAAAGTATTCGAATATCGTAGGCACCAGTTGGTTGAGCCAACACCATGTAACCTCCAACGCCAATCTTGCTTGTTATTTTATTTTCACCGTTTCTTTAGCTGGGGGTCTATCGAAAATGGCCTCAATTTAATGTATGTGTTATTTGGCATAACGATAACCATTTGTTGAGGACTTGTTTCCTCAAGATTGTGTTGCTCAACCTGACGTCCGAATCAAAAACTTCAAAATCAATCTCCAATCCAACAATGAGAAGGATGACTTTAATTTTTATGTTTCCAGCGGCTCTGTAGCTGAACAGAGAAAATAACTTGATATAAATAGAAAAGACAAAAATTGAAAAAGCCACAACAATTTTAAATAATAGAATCTTGAAGTAAAAATATATATGATAACTAAATAAAAGATAGTTATTAAGCCTCACAAAAGTTACTTGTAGTATCTCGAAAAGTAGCTCACAATACATAATAACTGAACTTGTATAGAAGTAAGAAAGACGTAGAGTTGAGGCTAAAGCTTGTGAACAATATCATCGCCTCACTTTTCTTATCAAACCATTCAAGAATATAAGAAAATGTATGGCTTAAGGATTAGAATTCAACGACAACAACCATATTTATGGAAAGAAAAAAAAAACTGCAAAATAAAACTCCAATGAATAAACTTTCAATTGACAGCATGAAGACTAATATTTGTCGTTGTCTCTGCACAAACTTTTTTCAGAATTGTTTTCCAATAACAACAACAACAGAATTAGACTAAGAAAAAAAGGATCTCCAAAAAGAGTCGATGATAGAAGAAATTATAGAAAAAGACTTAAACTATAAGTGAAAAATTGATCTTGCACGTCTAAAATGTAAGATAAATGATATGAATGTATAAATATAATGAATAAACTTTCATAATGTTCATGGTACATATGCGAAAAGCAAGTAAAAAATAGAAGAACCTAATAATATTGAATATTAACCTGGTTGCGAAACATAAAAAGTAATGCATTTCCATCACGAGGTGCATCTTCCTCAAATACAAGTTTGTCTATCTGAATGTCCCTAAGACGGTGCAAATCTATAGTAAAAAAGAAGAAGAGTGAAACCCCACATTTTAGACAAAATTTTAATAAATAACAAAATGGATGCCAGAACATATGCAAAGATAAGCCGAAATAAGTGATTTGTAATACCTTTTAATCTTGTAGAACCAATTCAATCGAGAAAGTAGTGTTAAAAATGCATGAAGAACTAAGTTGCTCGGACTCGGTGCGAGTATCCGGATATGGATACAGGTGCGGGGATACAACTAAGAAAATTCAAAATAATAAAAAATAGAGCTATAAAAATATTGTAAATATTGAAACTACATGTTAGGTCTACATGAAGTGCAAAATCAAAACATTGACACTTTGAATTTTTGGTTTCTCCGACACACAAAGCATCAAATATGAGACAAAAATACTACAACATTGAAGATATGCCATTTTTCATAACTTACATATGTTTAATTTTTTATTTTGAGAAATCAAAATCTCAATTTTTCTCCCAAATTTATCGATGGACTCCAGTCAAAGTGTCTGAAGTCGGTTGACCGTATCCAGGACGTTTTCCGCTCCAGCACACGTCCAAGTCTCGTATCGGGACGGAGACAACACCAAAATTGAAGAGTCCGTGCAACTTAGATGAAGAACAGAACAACAAATCCATATATTCAACTTTAAGAAATAGAGAACCAAAACTTATTATTAAGAAAAAAAAGTAAATTGAACATTTTTTTAACTGTTTGTAGAACAAATTGAATCAAGAAAGTAGTGTTAAAAATTTATGAAGAACAAAGCAATCTATCCAGATTAGCAACATAAAAAATAGAGAAGCAAAACGAATTAGTAAGATTTTTTTTAAATACCTTTTCATCTTATAGAACCAATTCAATCGAGAAAGTAGTGTCTGAATTGTAACGATCTTGGACTTCTCACTGACGAACAACCCAACCTTTCAATAAATTAGAATAGCAGAAATTCAGAAAATTCCAAAGTATATATGCATAATCTTCAAATAATCTGTACAATTTTTTCGTATATATTGTGTTCTAGAAATCATCTTTCCAATAGCAGAAATAGATCGTGGTTTCTACGTGTCTGCAAGGACATACTATTTGTATATACAGGACACATTATTTCCATGAAAGTTCATCATTCATGAGTTCGTAGAGTGAATTAGTTTTTAAAAAAGGATTTAAGGGAAAGAAATTCCAAAGAACATAGAACAATGTGCACATATCTTCTTTGTGCCCTTTAAAAAAAGAAACATCATAGCCAAATTAAGAAGTCTAAACATCCTATAAAATCCATTGGATATATGAACAAAGAGTTGAATGGTTTTCCTAAAGTTCTTTGGATTCCTTTTGGTCTTCAAAATGATATGCCCCAACCAGCATAAAGTGTCATCCTATATAACCGAACATCAACCAACTGAAATGGTAAGAAACAAAATTTTAACTTCCTAAGAATAACAATTAATAAAATAGGTTCACTCTTTAGGCAAAAAAGAGAGAGGGTATAATTCGAAGATGTAATTACTTATGAAAGTGTGGAATCATCACCAGTGAATTCAATATATCATAGAGCGACCAATTGCAGTAGTTTCTTAAACTACTCATAAGGGGAAAAGAAATAGAAACATTAATTGAAACATTGCTCTTTAGGATAGAACTGTAGCACCCATAGCTTTCTCGTTTATCTTTGTCAACTACTTATGAATTCAGAATTGGTACTCCTACTTGTACACAAGAATTACATGAAATAAGTTAAATTTGATAATGCTAATTAAACATGTAACATCAATTGGCAAGATGAAAATATAAATAAGTATTTTGGTGTAAAAAAATCATATTTGAAAGACTTTGTTCATACATATGAAATAAATATCTAATTATAAATTAAGGTAATATTACACATTCACATGCAATGAAAATATAGAAAGAAAGTGCAGCAGGAAGCTCCAACCAAGCTAGATGAACTTATCCCTTAACAATAAATATAAGTTTACTTAACTTGGTAAAAGACAAAGTAATTTAGACTTGATAACTACAGACATGAACATGAGAGAAGTTATAAGCTTCATTTGGTAAGTTAGGACTCCTCTGAAAACATAATTTGGTAGAATTCAAATTAAGAGCACTTCATAAGAAGATCTTGTTTTCTCTACTATTCCGATAAATAATTCCAAAATAAAGGCTTAAAATTTTAAATGATTCACAAAATATTATAGGAATAGAAATAACAAATAGAAAAGAAAGCAAGATTAAAATGGATCATTTGAAAAACAGAAAACACGATAGGAATAGAAGTGTTGTTGTGTGTACAGTGCAATACCCGTAAACCATTGCAGCATAACACATCCATGTCTTATTTCACCTATATATAATGTATATGAAGCATATGTTTACTGGAGCTACATCTTTGAAGTGAAGATGCAAAGAAATAAACACATTTGTATTTTTTTTTTAAAACATATAAAGAGTCCCATTTGTCAACGCTTTCAGAAAATACAACATCTGAAAAGTAGTGTATTAAGATTAGAAGCTTTCATTACTTATAAGTTTTTTTTTGCCAAATGGTTATGTCCTATTCTATTATGTTCTTATTTACTTTTATGCATATTATATTTATATAGTAATGGTTAGATATAAGAGAAGATTCTAACACAATCTGCTGATAATCTTGGTACTCATCTTTCTGTCACGTGAAATGCAAATATTGTGTTACTACTTTTAGATGATACATGTGGTTTGATGATTGTATAGTGTCAAGGTGATTATGATTGATAATTTAAAAATGCAGGGATATCATTAAAGCATACTGCAATGAAATCAAGAACCCACCAATGATCATCCTATGTCAATTGACAAAGGCTCTAAGGATGGATGAAAAGGAAATGAGACAACTATTCTGTGATGGTGTGAAGTCAATAAAGATGAATTATCCAATGGAACGGCGGGAACTGACTCTACAAATGTGTCAGGAATTGCCTTAGTAACTCTTTTCTCAATTGGTTCAGCAATCCTAGCACCAAAAGTAGTAAATTCAAAAGAAGATATATTTATTTATGGAAATGCTGTAAATTCAACAAATCATAGAGTGACCAACTACAGATGTTTCTTAACTACTCATAAGAGGAAAAAAAATAGAACCATAGATGACAGAAATTTAGCATTGAGTTTAAAAGAACATTTATATAAATATACAAAGATTCTAAACCTGATAATTGTATATATTGTCTAGAAGTTCTTTTTCCAATGGCACAAGCAGAAAGTGGTTTCAACATGAATACAAAGAATATTTTTCCAAGTGTAACTGCAAAAAGCAGAATATCAAAAATTTATAACTGAATTTAAAAATATATTGTATCAATCAACAAAGAATTTAAATCTAATTTTTTAATATATTGTAGTTCCAGAAGCATAAACGGATTGTAATTTTGACATACCATTGGAAAGATATAATTTTGGTCCATACATAATTATAAATCTCCTCTCTCGTAGTCCTCACACCGTGCTTCCTCTTTCGCATTTTTCTTAAAAAATTACACCGATAAGTCCTCGCCCGAAAGTTCGCTTTCGGTAATAAAATGCAGAATATAAACAAAAAGCGATACCTGAGGAATATCAGTACCCAGTAGATGACGGCAACAGTGACCATAAGCCCAGGGTAAAGCGTACCACCAATGATACACCCAAGTGGATACCAACTCTCCGAGTCAAACCAGTTCCAGAACTTGTAAAAACCTTTCTGAGTCAAGTATCGTTCTGTAATTGAAATAGGGATCGAATTCGTGGGTCATGCTCTCGTACCCTTTTGTCTGTTGTACCAATCAATATTTAAAAAGCTTCGCATCATCATTCAACTCAATTATTTTGGGAAAAGCCAAAATCGTGTATCAAATTTCATCTACCAAATTGATTTGGTTATACTAAAATTCAATTCAAGTTTCAAATAGAAGATAAATAAATTTGAAATACGGAGAACAAAGAACCTGTTTTCTATGTGACAAACTCAAGATTTCGTGCCTACAATCACCAATTGGGTAGTCTTCTTCCGCAATCTGTCTCGAAATTGGTGGTTCTTCGATCTGGTCACTATTTGTATAAATTTCCTCCCAGAATAATCTATGGTTCTTCGATCTGGTCTATCATTTGATGAAAGTAGATAGAGTTTTAAACTGCTCCCACGAACTGCAACAGCTTTTGCTATGTTAGTTTGTTACCTTTTTTTACGATTGGTTTTGCAATTTCATGGGAACGTGGGTTTCTTATCTTTGAATTTAATGTAATTAAATAATATAGAATTCAGATACAATTTTTTTAACAAAGAAGCTCGTTTATTATTTTTTGAATTGTAACAGTTTTTTCTTTTCCCCCCTCTATTTCTTTGTAATTGATATTTTTTAATTTTGAGAGATTTAATTGTAACTGTTATGTAGCAGTTTTTGCTATACTAATTTGTTATCTTTTTGTGATTTTACAATTACGTGGGATCATGGGAGGTTTTCTCATCTTTTAATTTATTTATTTTGATATTTAAATAATATAGAATTCAACTACATGTTTTTTTAAAAAAGAAGAGGGACACTCGTTTATTCTTTTTTAATTGTATCAGGTGTTTTTCCCCCTATTTATTTGTAAATATTTTTTTATTTAAAATTATTTCTATTTTAAATTTCTATTTTAAATTATTTTTTAACCTCCAAGTTAGTTGGAGGTTTGTCCTAAAAGTGGACACATGTTCAATTATTGTTTTGACACTTGGCATAATAGTATGGATTTGCTTCTCCTATTCTATATTAATAGATATTAACATAAATGTTATTAAATATTTGTTTTAATAATAAAATATTAATATTAAATAAATATTACTATTAAATCCTCCAATTAGTTTTTCTGTTTTAGTAACAGAAAATTAGCCATTTATGTAATTGCATTTATATTGTGGCCGTTTTGCAAAAACAGTCATTTTGAAGAGTTGCACCTCTTCATATTTCAGCCCAACTTTGGCTATAAATACAAGGCTATTCTGCTCAGAATTTCCATACGATTTTCAACGTTTCTCCTCCTTCTTCTGCATACTTTTAGCATCAAACAAATCAATAGTAAGTGTGATTTGCTACCGAACTTTGTGTTCGCCGAAACACTGGGGTTTGAAGTACCACTATACTAATGTGTAATTCGTTCTATCCTGGGAGGAAATAATCATTAATCTTGTGTACTAGGAGGGAATTAAATTCCTTAAGGAAACACTGTGAATTCAGTGGGCTCGAACTGGTTTTCTGTCATTTTTGTTTATGTTCATTTATATTTCCAAAATTATTTTATAAATACAGTATACTAACAAGCTCAAGAAATTTAAATATATTTCTGTATTTGTACTCACTGTTTTTGGAGAGTAAAACCTCTTTGGTTTTGTACTTCTACGTAATTTTAACATTTGTGTCATTCTTTTTACAGAAATGACTAATGATAACGGAAACCAAGCTGTTCCGATAGTGACTGCCAATTCCTCAACGAGCCGAACAACACCGGCAACATTGGCACCGACGGAGAATCCCAAAAAAAGTTTCGGGATTGATTTCAAGTGCTGGCAACAAAAGATGTTCTTCTACTTAACTATTTTAAGTCTGCAGAAGTTCATCAAGGAAGATGTTCATGTGCTGTCCGATGTAAATCCAGAAAATGAGCGCTTTCTCGTGAATGAGGCATGAAAGCATTTCAGATTTTTTTTGCAAGAATTATATTCTAAGCGGGCTGGAGGATGTTTTGTAGAACGTCTACAGTGGCGTGGAAACGTCAAAAGAACTGTGGACTGCGCTTGAAAAGAAAAACAAAACCGAAGATGTCGGATTGAAGAAGTTTGTTGCTGCAAAGTTTTTGGACCACAAAATGGTAGTTAGCAAGTCTTTTATTACCCAAATCCAAATTGCAAGTGATTATTCAATATCTCCTTGCTAAAGGTATAAATTAAATTAATATTGATGTTAAAAGTAGTAATCTTAGTATTTTTACTAATAGAAATTTTGTTGAAGGTCTTGTCATCAATAAAGCATTCCAAGGAGCAGCAATGATTGAAAGTTGCCTCCTTTGTGGAAGGACTTCAAAAACTACTTGAAACATAAATGCAAGGAGATGTCCCTTGAAGATCTCATTGTTCGGTTGAGAATCGAAGAGGATAACAAAGTTGCTAAAAAGAGAGGCCGTGAAAACGCAACAATAATGGGAGCAAATATAGTTGATGAGAACAAAAAGAGGAAGAAGGCTTCTGCACCGAAATACAACCCGAGCAAGAAGCGGTTAAGTGGAAACTGCTACAACTATGGAAAAATCGGACACAAATCTACGGAGTGTCGTGCTCCGAAGAAAGACAAGAAGAAGGGTCAAGCAAACATGGTTGAAAAGCATGATGATGTTGATGACTTATATGCCATGCTTTCCGAATGCAACTTGGTGGACAATCCTAAAGAGTGGTAGATTGATTCTGGAGCCACTCGCCATGTTTGTGTTGTTAAAGAAGCTTTTGCTACTTATGTTCCCGTTGGACCCAATGAGACGATTTCTATGGGAAATACTGCAAAGGCCAAGATTGAAGGAAGTGGGAAGATATTTCTCAAAATAACTTCCAACAAAGTGGTAACTTTGAACAACGTCCTTCATGTTTCCCAAATTAGGAAGAATTTAGTCTCTACTGGACTTCTTGTTAAGAATAGTTATAAATATATTTTTATTTCCGATAAGGTTGTAATAAGTAAGAATGAAATGTTTGTAGGAAAAAGTTACCTCACTGAGGGCTTTTTCAAGCTGAATGTAATGGTTGTTGAAAATAATAATAAAACTTCATCTTCGTCTTACTTACTTGAGTCAAATAAATTATGGCATATACGTTTGGGTCATGTTAATTATAAAACCTTGCGGAAAATGATTAATTTGGAAGTATTGCCTAAGTTTGAATGTGACAAATCAAAATGTCAAGTATGTGTGGAATCTAAGTATGTTAAATATCCTTATATTTGTGACACAGATATTTGTGACATGAAGTCAATACCATCTCGCGGTAGAAAGAAGTATTTCATAACTTTTATTGACGATAGTACTGGATATTGTTGTGTTTACCTACTTAATAGTAAAGATGAAGCAATAGACGCATTCAAGCAATACAAAAATGATGTTGAAATGCAACTTAATAAGAAAATCAAAATGATAAGAAGTAATCGGGGTGATGAATATGAATCTCCTTTTGAACAAATATGTTTAGAATATAGAATTATTCATCAAACAACGGCCCCTTACATGCCCCAATCCAATGGGATTGAAGGAAGAAAGAATCATTCATTAAAGGAGATGATGAACGCATTATTGATAAGTTCTGATTTGCCACAGAACTTATGGGGGAAAGCCGTTCTTACGGCTAGCCGAATACTAAATCGAGTACCCCATAGAAAAACACAATCCATTCCATATAAAAAATGGAAAGGAAGGAATCGCAACTTGAATTATTTTAAAGTGTGGGGGTGTTTGGCAAAAGTGCACGTTCCTAAACCCGAAAGGGTAAAAATAGGACCGAAAACCGTTGATTGTGTTTTCATAGGATATGCTACTAATAGTAAAGAATATCGATTTCTGATTCATAAATCAGAAAATCCTGGCATTCATAACAATACGGTTATAGAATCAGATAATGCTGGGTTCTATAAAAATATATATATCCATATAAAAAGGAATGTGAGTCGATTGGTGAAGGATCTAAACGACCTCGGGAAGAAACAAAAGAAAGTACACTTAACCAGGAGGATCCAAAACGTAGTAAATATCAAAGAACGTCTACTTCATTTGGACCAGATTTTGGGACTTTCTTATTTGAAAATGAGCCTCAAACATTTAAAGAAGCTATGTCTTCTGCGGAATCATTGTTATGGAAAGATGCAGTCAATAGTGAAATAGAATCCATATTGAACAACCATACATGGGAATTGGTTGATCTTCCTCCTGTAAATAAATTGTTGGGTTCTAAATGGATCTTTAAGAGGAAAATGAAAGATAATGGCACTATTGGCAAATATAAGGCAAGACTTGTGCTCAAAGGGTATAGACAACGAGAAGGTCTTGACTATTTTGATACATACTCTCCAGTTACAAGAATTACGTCCATACGAACATTAGTAGCGTTAACTGCAGTTTATGGTCATGAAATTCATCAATTGGTTGTAAAGACGGCCTTCTTAAATGGAGAGTTGGAGGAAGAAATCTACATGGAATAACCTAAAGGGTTTGTGGTTCCAAGTAAATAAAAGAAGGTCTGTAGACTTGTTAAGTACTTTTACGGACTAAAATAAGTACCCAAACAATGGCATGCGAAATTTAACCAAATAATGTTGTCAAATAGGTTTAAGATAAATGAATGTGATAAATGTGTGTACATTAAAAATGTTCCAAATCACATAGTCATTGTTTGCTTATATGTGGATGATATGCTCATAATGAGTAATGACATTGCCAACATAAACACTACTAAGCGTATGCTAACTAGCAAGTTTGATATGAAAGACTTGGGAGTTGCTGATTTAATTCTGGGAATTAAGATCCATAAGACTTCTCAAGGTCTGGCATTGTCACAATCTCANCTACTAAGCGTATGCTCACTAGCAAGTTTGATATGAAAGACTTGGGAGTTGCTGATTTAATTCTGGGAATTAAGATCCATAAGACTTCTCAAGGTCTGGCATTGTCACAATCTCATTATATTAAGACAGTACTTGAAAAATTCAAGCACTTGGGCATTAGCAAAGAATAAAGGCCAAAACATATCACAACTGGATTATGCTCGTGTGTTGGGTTGCTTAATATACATCATGAATTGTACACAACCAGATATAGCTTGTGCTATAAGTAAATTGAGTCGATATACGAGCAATCCAGGTCAATCTTATTGGATGGCCATGAAATGAGTTTTGGGGTATTTAGTACATACCCAGGACTTTACTTTGCACTACAGTAAATATCATGCAGTCATGAGGATACTATGATGCAAATTGGGACACCGGACAACTGATTCGAAGTCCACAAGTGGATATGTATTCACTATTGGTGAAGGAGCGGTATTTTGGAAGTCGTCCAAACAAACTTGTATTGCCCGCTCTACAATGGAGGCTGAATTCATAGCCTTAGATAAAGTCGGTGAAGAAGCTGAATGGCTCCGGAATTTCTTGGAAGATATTCTATTTTGGCCCAAACCATTAGCACCAATATGCATACA